GTGCCCATTTTATCTCTAATGATCGTTATGATTTTAGGTTTTACCTCTAGGTCTCTGATCCATTTTGTGCTTCTTTTTGGGTGAGTTGTGAGATGTAGATCTTTTTTTCTGTTTCCTAGTTTTCCAACACCATTTGTTAAAGCTGTTGTTTCCCATTTAATGAGCTTTGTTTCCTTGACAAATAACAGTTGGTTGCACGTAAATAGGTTAATTTCTGGGTTCTTGATTCTATTCCATTGATCTATGTGATGTTGCTGTACCAATACCATGCTATTTTTATTACTATGGCTATGTGGTAAGTTTTGAGATCAGGGAGTGAGATGCCTCATCTGTCATTTTTGTTTTTCAGAAGATTTCTGGGTCTCTTTCCTTTCCAAATGAAACTGGTAATTGCTTATTCTTTCTCCTTGAAGAATGAATTTGGTATTTGCATCAGAATTACAATCTGTAGGTTCTAAAGATTACTTTTGATAGGACTGCCATCTCACAGTCTTCTTATCTGTGAATAGGGAACAGTTTTCCATTTAGTTAGGTCTCTGTTTATTGTAGTAGCATTCTGGAGTTTATTTTATAACAACATTTTTAATCTCTTATTAGGTTTATTCCTAAGTAGTCATAGCTGGCTATTATAATGCTATTACTTTCCTAATTTCCTTTTCCATGCCTTCTTTGTTACTGTATAGAAATCTGATTTATGCTGATCTTATAGCCTATCAATCTATTAAATTGGTCTACTAGGTCCAAAAGGTTTTTTGTTGAATTTTGGAGTTTTCTGTGTACATTCTCATATTGTCGACATATAGTGACAATTTTACTATCTCTTTGGCTATTTACATACCTTTTTAAAAATTTTTCACTAGTTTGTTTACAAAATTCGAAAACATTGTTTTAGGGAAGAGATTCTTTCAATTTCTCTCACCTCCCCACCCATCAAATTGTACAACCCCATGATTAATCTCTCCCCCCTCCCCAACCCAGCACATCCCCATCCTTCTGCTTCCACCCTTTCCTACCCCTCTTGGATCCTATACTCATTCTACGATAATGGTTTTACATAATATTTATCCTTGTGGGCCTGAGTTAGTTCACTCAGCATAATGCTCTCCAGTCCCTCCCAAGTTAGGCAATAATTTACAAAATTATAGCTCCTGCATGCTACATAGTATTCCATTGTGTGAATGTACCATAATTTCTTAGTCCATTGGTTAATCCATGTGGTTGGACATTTGGGCTATTTCCATGTTCTTACAATGGTGAATAATGCTGCTATGAACATTGGTGTACAAATATCCATTTGTGCCTCAGTTTCATTTTCTCAGGATATTTCCAAGTAGTGGGCTGGGTTACCATCTCAGACGAAAGTCTTATAACAAAAGTTTATAAAATATTCCTGGGCCTCCACAAGAAAAAGACTGATAACCCAATTACAAAATGGGCAAAATAGATGGAAAGAATTTTCACAGAGGAAGATATTCAAATGGCAAATAGACAAATGAAAAAAATACTCCAAATAACTGGCAATAAGAGAGATGCAAATCAAAACCACAATGAGTTACCATCTCACTCCAGTAACAGTTGGCAAAGTTTAACAGGCAGCAAGTAATAAATGTTGGAGAGAATGTGGTGAGAAAGGAACTCTTATACATTGTTGGTGGAGTTGTAAAATGTTACAACCACTCTGGAAGGAAGTTTGGTGCTTCCTCAGAAAGCTGAACATAGATGCCTTTTATTTCATTTTCCTGTCTTACTGATATCGCTAGAACTTTCAATACAATATTTAATAGGAGTAATGACATTGGACATCCTTGCCTGGTCCCTGTTCACAAAAGAAATGTCTTTAGTCTCTCCCCATTAAGAAGGAGGTTAACTCTTGGTTTTGTGTATATATTTTTCACTATATTGAGGGAAAACCCCTCTATTCCTATTTTGCTGAGTGTTTTAATCAGGAAGGGTATTGGATTTCTGTCAAAGGTCTTTTCTTCCACCTATTCACAGGATCATGAGGTACTTGTTCTTTGCTTTGTTAATGTGTTAATGTAACGACTTATATTTATTGTGGGGGTTTTTTCTTCCTATGTTGAACCACCCCTGAATTCTTCTCATGACTTCCACTTGGTCATGATGAATCATAGGGGTATTCCTATTACTAATAACTAGATTTATGGCACTGTAGTCTGAGAAGATACTCTTCATTATTTCAATGTTTTTAAATTTGTAGAGGCTTGCACACACGCAGGTTTACCCTAGAAAGAGGCAAAATTGGCTGCTTCTGCCTGTGTCCTTTCCTGTGGCTGAAAAGGAGAAGTTATTTCCTTTCTGAGCTGACCAAGTCCATGGAGAGTTGGAAAAATCTCAGGAAGACTGATCAAGGCACTTACTTTGCCAAGTCTTGGTTGGTGGACACTCACTCTGTACCCAAGTTCCCTCCTAAGGCTGGAGATAGGAGGGACTTCCTAAACAGATAAAGCCTCTGGGGACTAGTTAAGTCCCAGGAATGTTGCTTAAGACACTTTCCTCCCCAAGGCTGGGTGCTAAAAGGTTCCTGTGTCCTCTATTGTAGCTAGGTGGGAGGGACTGTTTCTCTTTGAGCAGACAAAACCCCTATCGAGCTGAGAAAGTTCCAGGAATGCTGCCCAGACACCTTTCCTACTCAAGTGCTGGTGCTCACTGTGTACAAAAGGCTCATGTGTCCCTTTTCTCACCCCTGTCTGCCTAGGGTGGTCCACAGGGTGCTCTCATCTCTACTGGCTATGGCAGTGTTGACTCTGGGTGCCATGTAGGGCTTTTCCCTTTCTGTTGGCTGGTGTCTAATGGTGAATGGTCGGGACGGGGTGGAGAGGATACAAGATTGGATGGACTCATCGTGGCCCATGAGGCATTTTCCTCACTGTTGGCTCATCAGGTGCTCCCTTCTGTGCTGGATAGGGCAGCAGGGACTTCTGGGCAGCTGGCCAGAGGTCTCTTCCCTCCCTGCTCTGGTTCTGAGCGGTGAATCTCTCCTGCTCACTTTTAGTGCTATGAAGCACACTGCAAATTAAGAGTGATACAACAGCAGGAATTTAGCCTCATTTAAAGGACAGCTATATTCAGGATCTGCTCACAATTTTTTAAATCCGGTATTATCAACTAATTTACACCGAGATATAACAGGGTCCCTATGAATTAGAGTAGATTTGCTGGTACCTAATGACAACAACAACATAATTGAGTGGACTCATAAATGACCCTTCAGAAGGTTTTTTTAGAGGCAGTCAATTTCACAGAAGGAGACTGCTCATCTTTCTCCCAAGGAGCAGCTGGTATCCAATGAGCTACTCAAATTTCCTGTCTTTCGGTTGACAGCACAATTCTTTATCCACAAGTCCACCAGAGTGCACTTAAAAAGCATAATAAAAGAATGTTTACATGTTTAGATAATCGCAAAACCATTTATTCTTATTAGCTGCCATGGACTTGGCCCTTCACTTGTGCGAACCACATATGTCACAGAAGAAAATGACATTATGCAGTTTCTTGACTGTGATCTTTATGGAAGCAGACTGCCAGGTTTTCTCCTGTGGAGCCATTGGTTGAATCTTAACCACAAAACTAGGAAGTAGCAGCAAGCAAATCATAAACCACTTACACCATCTCAGCTCTGGAGGAAATCACTGCGACAGTGAAAAATTTTATCAACCAGCTTATTTTGCATTTTTAACTATTAAAAGTCTATCTCCTATTGGAACTCTCATACACTGCTGCTCGGATTGTAAAATGGTACAACCACTCTGGAAAGCAGTTTGGTATTTCCTCAAAAAAATGTTGAACACAGAAACTCCATATGACTGACCTATTCCACTACAAAGAATATAGCCCAAGGAAATTAAGACTGAGACACAAATGGAGATTTGTACACCAATGTTTATCGCAGGAACATGGAAACAGGCCCAAACGTCAAATTACAAGTGAATGGATTGAGAAGTTGTGGTACATTCACACAATGGAATACTATGCAGCACTCAGGAGCTATGATTTTTAAAAGCACTACATAACTTGGGAGAGACTAGAGAGCACTATGCTGAACTAACTCAGTCTCATAAGGACTAATATTGCATAAGGCCATTATTGTAAAAATAGAAGGATAATTAGTAAAATGTGTATGGCAGTCCAAGGGGAGAAAGAGTGGGAGCAGAGAAGTGAGGATGGGTAGAGAGAAATCACAGGGTCACACAAATTGGTGGGGGGAGCGGGAATAAAAGAAATGGAAAAGATCCAGCAGGTACCAGAGAAGATGAGGTAATGATGGGCATAATCCAATGATGATTAATTTGAAAAAACACCATGTCAATGATTGTATGAAACTTAATGTCAATGAAGGAAAGTGTGTGTGTGAATATTCATAATAAACACAAATACACACACAAAGTTTATCTCCTAATAAACTGCGGGGGATGACTTTTATTGAAATTTTGAAACTATATGCTCAATTTTCTGTTCCTTACATTAGTTTTAATAATGGAATATTACATTAAATTTCTTGAGACATAATAACATTATTAAGAAACAGCATAAAAATGGCATCTGTACATGATTATCTTAGTTATCTAATTTTGCTATAACAGAAATTCACAAGCAGATGGCTTTAATGTACAAATTTATTCCCTCACAGTTCAGGATATCAGATGCCTAAATTCAGAGAACCAGCTCCTGGTCTTTCAAAAAGGACAACTACACAGCATCAGGAATCATGGCTGAGCCAGATTGACATTATTTTGGAAGGAAACAATGCAATACATGACATTATGATAACCTACAAGAGTCAATTTAGATTACTGGACTTTTATGTTATAAATGAGAACTAATCCTATCCATGGAAACACCTAGTTTAATAATTTATATACTCTTGTCCTATACTTCTAAACCATGTCTGAAATCTTCACTAAAATTCCAAAACTGATTTAGTGGCAACAAACAGAATGTGAAGATTGTAAAGGATACACTGCTGAAACTGAGTGGCGCTAATGGCCCTCAGGTCAGAGTTTTATCAAGAACCACCTTAAAGTACCTGAGTCAGTCATTTTACTTTTATTGCTTCTACTTTGTTCTCCTACGCAATAAATACTGTTGAACAAGATCTAAGTTTACCTATGGTCCTATTTCTTCATCACTGGCAAATATGTAAAGTATTTTCTTTTTAATTACCCTTAAATAACCATTTCCTACATACATAATGGCATGCCTTAGTTTTGGCTATCCTAAGGATGAATGTTAACAAAGAAAATGCAGCTCAGATTTCCCCTATCCCAAACAGTGCAGAAACCAGACACGAAGCAGCTCTCCATGCTAGTCCAATCAATTGTGCACTCTTGGAACCACCCACTTTTTTCCTTCTGGCTGCTTCTGCAGCCTGACAAATCACTCCAATTCCCTACACAGCACTAACAGCTCTCTCTCTTCCCACACTTGCACTGTAGGGAAGATTATAAATAAATCCTACATTCATTTGACAGCACCATGCCCAGGCCTGTGCATTTTCTGGGGTTAATTGCTGAGGGAAAACCAATACACTAGTGCAAGTCTCATTCCAGTCTACATGGTAATTATATGCTAATGCCTTCTGAAATTAATTCAATAACCCCCACACCAGCATTGCAGGAGAGCGCAGAGAAGCTGAGATTTAATCACATACATTGTCTTCTGGGGTCTCAATGCAAAATTTCTTTTATCCATGACATGGGCCATCAATCGAGCAAACTCACCCACTCCTCTTCCAGTTAACAGTTTGGTCCCACAGCAACAAAGTGGCTGGTGGATGTTGGACCAGACACCCAGCATCTCTCTCCTCGAGAAGCAGAGCAACTGACTTCAAATAATCCATACTCTATGTTCAACCACTCTCGTTTTTACTTTCTTTTAGTGAACCTCATTTAAGGGCCTATATGATCAACCCTGAATAAAAGGACACTGTGAGCAAAGTTTGCAATGATAAGACAAAAAAAAGCCACAAAAACTGAGAAAATACTACAAGCAAAGAAGGAGTGTAAAAACAATCAGAACATCAAAACAAGAACAACTTAGCTCTGATGAGAGAACAACACACACACACACACACACAAAGAGGCTTCCAGGTCCATTGCATTATATCTAGGTAAGGAAATAGATACAGTTTGCCCTACCCCAGTAAGCATAATCTAAAATCCCACTGCAAATGGCTCTTACACAAGACATTTGTTCTACAATCTTATATACTGCAATTTTCAAAGAACAGCTAATTTAACACGAAGGTTTTACTTTCCCGATTAAAAAAATACAATGAATAAATTCCTCAAACTCATGGCTGTCTAGTTTGAACCTTGGAATCAGCTCAAAACTGACCTGCCAGTAGATTTTCCGAGGCTATAAACCCCACAGGAGAAGGTTTTCCATCTTTCTCTCAGGAAATGCTAGTGGATCTGAATGTTGAGAGGAACCACCATTGGGTTATCAGCGTAACTCTCCACAGATTAGGACAGCAAAGCTCCCTACCTTTTCTGATATTTGTCATTAATTCAATATGCTAGTCTTACTTTTACTGGGCCTGATCCATTTTAAGGGAAGTTCACCAAGGGTGTGGACTATGAATAGAGGAGGGATTTAGCTATCATAAAGGAAAAAAAGCAAGGCACAGAGCCTCCACTAGGCCCAGGGACCCTGCTCAAACGTCCAGATTCAGGGAAGGTTGGTGCTAAACACATGGTGATCTCCAAGGGATTCTGGGCCCACAGATGCTAAAAAGACAAGGACCTTCCCCTAGAACTGACAGAGTGATAAGACTGTCCACTAGACTTGGTGTCCTGAATCTGGACCTGTAGCTTCCCAAAATAGAATCTATTTCTGTTCGTTAAAGCCATTTACTTGTACTATTTCTGTTATGGGAGCACCAGATAATGAAGGTAGTTTCATATATGAATCTACTCCCCTGGCATCCCTTGATCTAAGGCTTAAAAAAAAATTTGTATGAGAAGATGACTTAGAACAGTAAAATGCATTTTTTCATTTTCCAGTATATCAGAGCACTGAATGAATGGTTTTCCTTCGGGACACACTTTTGAATGCATCTCTATTTATATAAACAAATATAAAAGAATTTAAATACACAAGACCCCATCAAAACTTAGGAACAAAATATGACTGTGTATAGGAGCGCTGATGGCCTAACAGTAAAGAGTTGGGCTGCTAAACTTAAAATGAATCTATCAGCTGCTCCATGACAGAAAGATGGCCAGTCTTCTCCCCTATGATTCACAGCCTCTAGAAACCGGCTAGATGGTCCGCTGAGTTCGTTCCAACGTGAAGGCACACAACAGCAACAACAAGAACTATAGCTTAAGATAGCATCATGTGGCAGATACTGGGGTAAAACCTGACACACTTTGATTAATTTCCACAGTATTCTCAGAAGCTGCTCACTATTTGCAATTGTATTGTACTTTGTCTGACAAAGCCAGCTATTTGTTATATATAGGCTTGCTCTATAAGACAGTAAGTTATTTGTTGAAGGAACAATTTTATTGAAAAGACAGATAATTGAGATTACAGGAGATAATTAGCCAAAAATCTGTGATAGGACTGTGTGTTCCAACTTTTTTTTACCTTTTGTTGTCATTGTAATTTTATTTTTAGACAAAAGAATCACTGGTGCCTGGAGAAGAATTAACTTATTGCCATGTTTAATCTTGCTCTCTGCATGTCTAAACGGAAGTGAAGTTGCTGAATAGCAAGGGAAGGGCTAGCTTCAAAACCACAAAGGAAAGAACAGGAGAGGATCCGCACTACAGTGTGTTCCTATCGTTCATACCTAGGAGACTCCTCGCAGTCCCTAACCTAGCAGAGATACCTAAAGATTCTGTCTGTGAGAAATGATTTCATTTAGTCAGTTATGTGACAACCACTATGCTAAAACCTGAAATGCAAACTGAAAGAATTTGAATAACTTAAAGAAGGCCTTCCAATTCCAGGGCACAATTTGGTGTCTGACCTATAGAAGCGTCTCATTAGTCTGCAGCCACGGCTCATTTGTTACCACTATCTAATAATGTCAGACAGAAATAAAATACTAGCACACTCGTTGGTCTGGATCCCATAGGACATTACATCTTGACTGTTAATAAGTAGAGAGAACAGAACTAGAATCTTTGTGTCCCAAATTACAGCTGTTGGGACATTTTACTTTATTGTGCATTACAGGAAATCTGTGTTGAGGTACATATAACACTACAGAGTGATTTAGTAGATATGATTCCCTAAAGTCTAGAGCAACATAAATTAGGATACCTCTGGATCTAAACAAACAGGTTTGGTTAAAGAAGAACCATAGAAAATATAGTATGCTTCAAAGCCTAGTGCATTAGTCTTGAAGTTAGGCAAGCCTGAGTTCTTATCGCAGCAAGTCACCTAAATTTGCAACGCTAGGTAAGCCATTTAATCAGTTTTCTTACACATATGAGGAAGATTAACTAGTACGTACCATATATGATTGTCAGAATATTAAATACATATGTGTATACTACATATGCCCAGTGCTAATAATAACAACTCAATAAATTAGTCCTTCTTTCACCATTATTACAACCACTTTCCCTTTACTCTTTGCTCAGAGGAAGTCAGTTAGTACCAGTCAGGAAAAATAAACTCATAGCAATAAATCCTATTATTTAATATATACTATTATCTTTGATCATACATCTTAGGACGTGTTTTTACTTTCAATTAAAACGCAGAAGCCATATTCATTGCTATGGAGTGATTGCAACTCATGGGGATCCTCCACTGAGTTTCCGAGGCTGTAACCTTTACTGAGAGGAACTACCTGTCTTTCTCCCGTGGAGAATCTTGTAGATTCAGACTGTCTGCCTGTCTGTTGGCAGTCAAACACATAATGTACTGTATTACCAGGGAGCTTGGTGGCTTGGTGATAGAGAATTACGATACAATTGCAAAGGTATGTAGTTTGAATTTACCAGCTGCTCTGTGGAAGAAAGATGAGCAATTTCCTCCCACACAAGTTATTGTCCCTGAAAATCCACTGGAGCTCAGTTCCGACTTGATGGTACACAACAACAACAAGGTTATCTTTGATTTTGTATAATTTTAGTGATTATCAGTGTTCTTGTCCATTGTGGATGATCCTTATGATGCTTCTATATCACAAATGATTAAGAAAAGGAGAATAATTGGCATCACTTCTTTGTAGGAGTAGGTTTTTTAGGTGAAGTAAAGCGATGGAGATGTGGAGGGATGGGAATGCTGAAAGCATCAAGTTCTGTCTGACAAGTTTGGGTTGTAGATATTACTGTTGTAATTATTGTTACACACCATCCTTTGGATGTGATGCATAGTTGACCTTCTAGTGGGTTTTTAGAGGCAGTAAATAGCACACACAAGAGGGACTCATTTTCCCATGAAACAACTGGTGGATTTGAACCTTTGGGTTGGCAGTGCAATCCTTTACTACTAAGTCACCAGAGCTCCCTGTAGATACTATTGGATGAGTGGAATTATAAATAACTGTGAAGTTTATTATGAGTCAGCCTGAAGAGGAAATCATACAAGGCATAACTCAACTCAGCAGTCAGACATTCCCTGCCCCCATATATGTCTGAACATCAAAGGATTTTATGCAAGAGACCTGAATGGTTAAGTAAAACTACATCATAGTGAATACTGATTAGCTGAAGAGATCGGACATGTTTGGTTTACTTTTCTGTGTCTGCATTATGATAAATCCCAAATAAAATTCACTGACATGGATCCAAATCTGACTCAGCAAACCTCCAGCATAGAACTGCCTCACAGTTTCCAAGCCTGTAAATCTCTATGAAAGCACATTACCCCATCTCTCTACTGTAGAGTGACAGCTGGGCTCAAACCTCCAACTTCTTCACCAAGAGCTGAATGTTTTAGTCATGGTGACAGCAGATAATCGTAGATTATTTAAAAAATAATAGCTGAGTGGAAAAATGAATGAATATCAAATGAAGGTCAAATTAAAAACAGAATCCCTGTGTTAAAATTTAGGACAGTAAGGATTAAGGATGAAGTCATCTAGAAAAAGAAAAGCTAATTTCTTTAGCTTCCTAGCTTATTCCTAAATAAGTAATACGACCTTAACCCATATCACTATCTTGATAGACATTCATCATTCCTTGTTTTTGTACAAAACCAGTCCAAGTTTTGTTTTCTCTACCATCATCTGTCAAAACTAACGACATTGATTGGGACAAGATGGTGGGTTCACCATGAAAAGCTGTCAAGGGATGAAAATAAGTGTGACTGGAAGCAAATTTTAAAGCAGTCTGTCTTCAAAACCACTTTTTCCTTCCACCTGCTAATCATCTTGAGTCACCATGGCAGTAGCAGCAGTAAAAAATGGGCACTGTCCAACAGAACTGTCTTGAAACATTTATTTCCAATTCAAAATGGAATTTATTATTGTGTTCATCATAAATCTACATATTCTTCTCTTCCAGATGACTATAATTGCAAGGTGGAGCTTGCTTTGACATCTAATGGCGGAACAACAGTCTGCTACCACTTTTCTGTGGGCATTCTGCATCAACACACAAAACCCATCCTTTGGCCAGATCCTGTGCATAATAGTAAAGAAACACATGACCAAGTGCTGAAAATCAGATTAGAAGTAAAAAATGAACTCATCGAGCAAGGACCTATGGTAGAACAACTTAGGCAAATGTTCTTTACTACCAAGCACCATTGGTATCCTCAAGGAGAGTATCACGGATATCATAGGAAACAGAATCCTCCAAAAGAAAGATGATTTTCAGGATCTCGTTAGTAATTAAAGGGAAATGATATTGTCTCATGTAAGAAAATGTGATGTATTCACTGCTATGTTAAATAATTAAAAAAATTCTATTAAAAGAAACTAAGGACATTAGATTGGTACACTATCAAATTAGTTTTTATGAAACTTTTGGAATGGAGAGTATTCCTGATTATGTAGGACATTACATGTTGGACTGCTAACAGACAAGAAGGCAATGTGAATTCACAAGCCGCTCCATAGGAGAAAGACAGATGGTTTCTTTCCATAAAGATTTACAGCTTCGGAAACCCAATGGGAGTCCCTATGAGTTGGAATCATCTCCATAGCAGTTAGTATGGCTTCTAGGTTTGGAATTGAGAGTAAAAACAAGTTACACGGTTTTAATGTTCCTGTAACATCTTATTAAAACAGGGTATCAGTTAAAAGATTAAGGTGTGCCCAATCCAACTCAGGATATTTTTAACAGTTTCATACAAAAGTTGGATAATGAACAAAGAAGACTGAAAAGTAACTGATGGCTTTGAATTGTGGTGTTGGTACAGAGAATGGAATATATCCTAGACTACCAAAAGAACACAATCTATGCGGAAGAAGTGTAGGCCAAGCGCTCCTTAGTAGCAAAGACTATGAGATCTGTCTCACATGCTTTAGGCCTGTTATTAAGAAGGGCTCGTCCTTGTAAAAGGGATGCCATGTTAAGAAAGGTGGAGAGGAGGACTCTCAACACAATGATACAGTGATTCCAAAAATGGACTTAAGCAGAGACTGAGGAAGGTCCAGGATCAGGAAAGATTTTGACCCCCTGCACAAGGGGCATGGAATGAGTCGGAGTCAACTACACAGCATCTAACAACTATAACATATCATTTCATATAAAAGCACGTAAATAATTTTGTGAACATAGTATTGACTTAGATTCACAAGCAACAATCTACTTTCTGTGATTGCTTTGGAAAACTATTTTAAGAGTTGAAGAAATTGTTCAAATTCTTCTCTTCCACATTTCCTTATACATCATGCATTCCTTTATGCACAAAACCCCCCCAAAAACAAAACAAAACAAAAAAAACCAAAAAAAAACCCACAAAGACCAAAACCCAAAAACAGAAATTAAAAGTGGAATGCTTCTCACCTCCAGAAGTTCATCTCCAATGCGCATTCTTCCATCAGTGGCCACAGGTCCTTCTGGGTTAATTCCCACCACAAATATGCTCATGCGTGACCTGTCTTTATTACCAGCAAGGCTGAGTCCAAGTCCATTCTTATCCTTTTCAAGTTCAATAATGTGCAATTCTCCAGGCAAGTCTGCATACCTTTGCCTGATTTTTTCTATGTAAAAAAAAAAATAATAAAAAAGGAGGGTAGGGAGGTGAGGCAAGAAGACAATAAAGCAATAGAACATATATTACAAAGATACCAGCATTTCCTCACACTTATTGTAATTTTGCTTTAATAGTTTCTTTTGAGAAAGAAATAATTAAGATAATACATGGTGTTACACATAAGTTGCAATAAAAAACCAATTAGTATATCTTTGTTCTTCCTAAGAAGTCTGATTACCCATGATACCGTGTCTCATTGTTCATGTCCATACCAAATCCCATAGATTATTGTTTTTAGTAAGGCAATCAATATATTGTGGTGGAATCTATTGCCTCCCCTCCCAAACAACCAAAAACTGTTTCCTTTCAGCTCTTTTCCAAGCAAAGCCCCTGCTCCTAGTTAGGCAACCCTAAACAGACATGATTTCTCCTTATAAACTTAAAGTTTAGTAGCAAAAGAATCAAGAATTAATTCAAAATACACTTATGTATTTAAGGTACACAAAGAATATGAAATAACATTATCTTATGAGCAAAAGCAAGGGCAAAAGAGGATGTTGGTTTAACTGTTAGACCTGACAGCTCAAAGCATAAATATACCATATATTTAGTACTTACTAATCATCTAGAGAGTTTGCTACTCCTCTGAGGGTTTAATTTCTTTATCTGTAAATGGAGTATCATAGAGCTCATTTCATGTGTGTTGGAGAAATTCAATAAAATACATGCCAAAGGACTTAAAAGGTTGTATTATAATTTTTCTATTCTCTCTTCCCTCTCACCTGGCCACTTCTTCTTTATGGTTTAAATTACTTATTTCAGGATTTGGCTGTGAGTATTTTGTTTTGACTTTTTGTGGAAAAAGCCGCATGGTAAATTATTCCAGGTTAACATAATGTGTGCATATAAAACACACATGCATGCAGCACACACAATACATAGGAGAATAAAGCATGAGGAGGAGGCTCAGTGTGCAGAAAATGACTTGAGCATTATTTCCATAGAAATATGGGTATTTTATTTTGTATCTCAGAAAGCACATATTCAGAGCCAGGTGTGTTGCCAGGGATGAAAGGCTTGATGATTAGGAGCTGTTGTTTGAAGCAATTCTGTCTTCAGATGAATAACTAATTAGGAGACTGTCTTTCCTAAAGATCGATAGGTTCCATCTGACATGTGACTTACATTATGTTCTCTGTTCTTAGGAAAAAACCTTCCCAAGTTGAAAACAACACAGTTAGTTATAAGAAAAATGGAGGTGAGGGGAAGACAGTAGAGCCACTGCATGATTTTATAAGATTTAATCAAACAAAGCTTTTTAAGTGCATTGCTCAGTTTGGAGAAAACCCTATGACTTGAGCAATATTTGGGGGGGAAAAAGCAAAAACAATAATTTTGCATTGCACCCCACAAAGTGAGTTATTGATGTTGTATTGGTGTCATACAGCCAACTCCTATGCCAACTTGTGGTGACCCTTTGAACAAGAGATCAAAGCTTGTCCTCCCCTTCTTCATTCTCACATTTTCTGTCTTGCTTAAGCCCATTGTTAAACCAATGCATCAATCCGTCATGGTGAAGATCTTTCTCTTTTGCTGTCTTCTATTTTTGCAAGCATGACTAGTCCACCAAAGACTAGTGTCCCCATGCATGAAGCAAGTGAGACAAAGTATCATCATCTTTGCCTTCAAGTGGCACCCTCCTTGTACTTTCTCCAAAGGGAATTGTTTAATCTTTCCACAGTCCATGGTGTATTCAGTACTCTGCCAGCACTGTAACTCAAAACAATTGGCTCTTATTCAGGTATCTTTATTAACTACTCAACTATCACATGTACAATAAGCAATAAAAATATCAGAGCTTAGGTCACACACACCTTAAACTGATATCCTTGCTCTTTAGCATTTGGGAGAGAATGGAGAACATTATGCTAATTGAACTAACTCAGTCTCCTATGGACAAATATTGCATAACACCAGTGTTGTAAAAATAGAAGGAAAATGAATAAAACATGTATGGGGATGAAGAGAGAGGGTTGGTAACAGAGAGATAATAATGGGCAGAGGCAAAATCACAGAGTTGCACTATTTGGTGGGTGGAAAGAGAGGGCAAAGGGAATGGCAAAGATCCAATCGGGCAATGAAAAGACAGGGTAAGGTGGGCATAGTCCAATGATGATTAATTAATTTTATAAAACAAAATGAATGACAATGATAGTATGAAACACAATGTGAATGAAGAACAGTAGCATGAAAAACAATGTGCATAAATTTTGTAAGCAAACCTATATCAATTTTTTCAAAAAAATAAGAAAAAAAGAAGTCTGTGGCAGGAGGTTTTCCCAATGCTAAATATCTTTCAGTTCCTTGACTGTTGCTATCATGAGCATAGATAATAGCACCAAGTGAAATGAAATTATTGACAACTTAAATCTTCATATATTACCTACTAACCCAGTGGTGAGGGTTTTTCTTTTATTTATGTTGAATTGTAATTTATATTGAAAATTGAGGTCTTTGGTCTTCTTCAATAGTGCTTCAAGGATTTCTTCACTTTGTTAAGCAAGGTTGTACAGCCTGCATAAGGTAGGTTACTAAAAAGCCTCCTTAAATTTTGGAACTGCATTATTCTTAATATAATCCAGTCTTGTATTATTTTCTCAGGATATAAACTAAACAGTTTTTTGTTGTTTTTGTTGTTGTTGTGAATAGGAATAGTGAAAAAAATACAAGCCTGTCACACATCTTTCCCAATTTTAAACCATATAGTATTCTCTTATTCTATTTGAACTACTGATTCATGGTCTTTATACAAGTTCTGCATGAACATAAAAAAATATTCTGTCATCCAGAATCATTTTCTATTCCACTGTTGAATGCTTTTGTATAGTCAATAAATAAGAGTTAAATTTATGAAAATTGTATGCATTTATTTTAGTAAAAGAATTAAGTGTAATGCTACTTATTTTAGAAGAATTAATCTACTTGCCAAGAATTTTGAAGTGACTCTTAAGGGGACTTTAATGAATAATGCATGTTATTAACAATAAATATCGTGTTTAACAACATCTAGTGATATGAAGGGTTGTAAAGTAATAAAATTGTCCTCCATGTAAGGAAAAAGTATATCATCATGTTGTTGTTTATGTGCTATAAAGTTGGAACCGATGCATAGCTGAACCTCCTGTGGGTTGTCAGAAGCAGTATAATCACACAAGTGGAGATTTCCTATCCTTCTCTTGTGTAACAGCTGGTGGATTTGAAAGTCATGCCTTCAGATTAGCAGCACAGCATTTTACCACTAAGGAACAATTCCCTATATCGTTGTTGTTTGTTGTTATGTGCCATCGAGTCGCCTGCGAATCATAGCAACCCTATGTACAACAGCCCTAAACTCTGCTCTATCCTATGCCAATCGCACTGTCTCTGACACTCCCATCCCGATTACCCCAGTCACTGAATCAAACCACCTCATAGAGGGCTTTCCCCTCCTGCACTGTCCCTCTACCCTCCCAAGCTTGATGTCCTTCTCCAAGGACCAGTCTCTCCTTACAATATGTCCAAAGTGTGTTAGACGGAGCCCCAGAATACTTGCCCCCAAGGAGCCACCCCCTATATAATTTTTTGACAAAAATAAAACACGGATATTTTTGTGGGTTAGCTACTAAGATTAGAGATTAGAACAAGCCATTAAACTGCTATGGTGAAAAAGACACAGAAAAGCTGAAGTATCCTTATGGATGCTTATACAGCATAACATGGGAGGCAACCATAAACACCAGAAATATTAAACAAAAACAGTTATTTAAGTAAATGTTCTAACCATCATATGTGCTAATGCAAATCAATGAACAAATAGTAAAGTAACTGTATAAGAAATAATTATTTTTAAAGTTTCTAGAATTGATAGGGCTAGAATTAGTCTATGAAAGAGTAAGGTTTAAAGTGGGACTTAAATAAAGTTCAGAATTTAATTATATGAAGAATTCCTGGTGGGTGGAATAGTGAGATTAACATATGCCAAACGGTGAATAAGAAAGGAAATTTGAACACACATCTGACTGCAAAGGGAAAAGAACTAAGACCAAAAAGTTAAACTGTTACTTACAGAAGCAATTTCCATATAAGGGTTTTGCTAAGTTGTCTTGTCCCCTACACTTATCACCAAGGATTCTCTCTTTCACAAATTCACCCAGAGCACTAATAGATTGTTTCGGTTATGGGTCAGTTCGAATGGACAGCACACAACAACAACAATCAATCTCTCACAGCTAGCTCTCCATCGGGTTTTTAGTGACAATTAGTTGCAAGGGAAGAGATTATCCATCCTTCTCCTGTGGAGCAGCTTGTGGATTCAAACTGCATGGTTTTGGATTGACAACACAGTTCCTTACCATGATGCCACTGAATTTCTCTCTTTTAGGACACTTGTTGTTGTTGATATTGTTATGTGCCTTCGAGTCGCTTGGGACTCATAGCAACCCTATGTACAAGAGCCCTAAATGCCGTTCTATCCTTTGTCAACCTCGCCGTCTCAAACACACTCATTCCCACCACTCCACTCACAGAATCGGTCCATCTCATCGAAGGTCTTCCTCTCCTGCACTGTTCCTCTACTCTCCCAAACATGATGTCCCTCTCCAAGGACCAGTCCCTCCTTGCAACATGCCCAAAGTACATCAGACGAACTTAGGAAAGCAAATTACTATACATGTTTTTTTTTTTAATTCTGCTCTATTACACGAAAGAAATTTGAAAAGGAAAAATGTTTATACTTTCTCATTTTTCAATGCATATCATAAAACAGTAAGTATAGTAAATGTGATAGAGAAGGTGTCAAATGTTCTGTAACACACATGCTCTTTAATCACCAACTGAATTTTCATTGTTAACATTTTCAGGTCTCAAAATTTAGATATTTTTAGTTTTTTTATTTAGACTCATAGCTAGAAGGATATGACAGTTAATATTATGTGTCACAGTGGCCAGGAATCTGAGTACAATGTAACT